TGTCTGCTGCAAAGGCAAGGAGCTGCTGCTGTGTAGCAATGCCAGCTGCTGCAGGTGCTTCTGTGTCGAATGCTTGGAGGTGCTGGTAGGGCAAGGTACCTTGGCCAAGGCAAAAGAGCAAGAGCCCTGGAACTGTTACATGTGTCAACCACAGAAGTGCTATGGGGTGTTACAGAGCCGACAGGACTGGAATGTACGGCTGCAAGACTTCTTCACCAGCGACAAAGGACAGGAATATGATGCACCTAAAATCTAAAAAGGCCCGCACATTTCCCTGAGTCACTACCCTTGATAACAGAACGTCAATGACTGCATTGGCTACTTGGATCACAGCAGCCCCCACAGTAGACTTGCCCACAACAGCAGCGGTGACAGTGAGCTGAGCGGGCTCCGTGCTTGCTGTGGTATGGCATCTGCATGGGTAACCCTGGAAAAAAGGTGCAAAATGATTGTTTGCCATTGCTTTCACGGATGGGAGGAGGAATGATGACATGTACCCAAAACCACCCGCGACAATGTTTTTGCCCCATCAGGCATTGGGAGCTTAACCCAATATTCCAATGGGCGGTGGAGACTGGGGGAACTGTGGGCTAGCTACCCACAGTGCACCGCTCCGTAAGTCGATGCTAGCCACAGTAGTGAGGATGCACTCCGGCAACTTAATGCGCTTAGTGGGGACATACGCAATCGACTGTATAAAATCGATTTCTAAAAATCAACTTCTATAAAATCGACCTAATTTCATAATGTAGACATACCCTCAGTTTGCTTAAGAGCCTTTGGTTAGGGATCTTGTTAGAGGCTTTCTGAAAATACGGATACAACTGTATTGTCTGGATTTCCCTTATCCATATGCTTGTTGACATCCTCAAAGAATTCTTATGGATTGGTGAGACATGATTTCCCTTTACAAATTGTGTTCATCTATGTGTCTGATAATTCTGTTCTTTAGTATAGTTTCAGTCAATTTGCCTGGTACTGAAATTAGGCTCACTGGCCTATAATTGCCAGGATCGCCTCTCACATCCTTTTTAAAAATTGGTGTTACATTAGCTACCTTCCAGTCATCTAGTACAGAAGCTTGTTTCAATGATAGGTTACATACTACAGTTAGTAGTCCTGTAATTTCATATTTGAGTTCAATCGAACTCTTGGGTGAATACCATCTGGTCCTGGTGACTCATTACTGTTTAATTTTTCAATTTGTTCTAAAACCTCTACTATTAACCCATCGGTGTGCAACAATACAGATTTGTTCCTAAAAAGAATAGCTGTGATTTGGGTATCTCCCCCATGTCCTCTGCAATGAAGACCAATACAAAGAATTCATTTCGTTTTGCTGAAATGGTCTTGTACTTACTGCCACCAGGTGTGTGCTGCCATAAGCGAACGTAGAACCTAGGGTGAATCTGGCCCTATGTATTAACCTTTTCTTTTTGAGATAAGTTTTCTTTTCTTTAACTTTTTTCAGGTTATTTTTTAAATTAAATTGAACCACACAGCGTAGCCTGCACATAGGCTATCGCAGTCAGGGCCGGCTCCAGGCACCAGCGCAGCAAGCAGGTGCTTGGGGCGGCCAACGGAAAGGGGGCGGCACATACGGCTCTTCAGCGGCGGGTCCCTCACTCCCTCTCGGAGGGAAGGACCTGCCGCTGAAGAATGAAGCGGCGGTGGTAAAGCTGCCGCCGATCACGGCTTTTTTAAAAAAAAATTTCCCGCCGCTAGGGGCGGCAAAAACACTGAAGCTGGCCCTGATCGCAGTGGTGGGCAACCTGCAGCATGCTTGCCGCGTGCGGCCCGTCAGGGTAATCCGTTGATGAGCCGCCTGACAGCTTGTTTACATTTGCACGGCCGCCCACAGCTCCCAGTGGCCACTGTTCGCCCAGCTGCAGGCGGCTGTGAAAATGTAAACAAACTGGGGCCCGCCAGCGAATTACCCTGATGGGCTGCAGGTTGCCCACAATTGGGCTATCACATGCCTAGAAACTCACTCATAAAGATTAAATTTACTTTAAAATCTGTCTGGTTGAACAAGAGTCACATTTCCAGGAATTGAAATTTGAACAACTTATTAAAATAGATAGAAATAAAAGAAGTCCTGTGTTTAACTCCTTCTTTCAGAGGCTTCGTCCAATGTTACGGAGCAGAGAGAAGGAATCCAGATATTACATATAGAGGTGCCTTTTAAAAACCAAGTGGAATCATGGTAGTTTTCTAATGGGTCTGTGACTACAATTTTCAAATCTGGATACCTAATGTTAGGCCCCTTAATCCAAATGTAGGCCCCTAAACAAGAATGGCCTGATTTTCAAAGATACTGAGCTTGCAGTTCCCACTGGTTTCAGTAGGATTGTGGATACCCGTCATTACTGAAAATCAGGCTACTTATATTTAGGTGCCTAAATATTGCAAATTTTGCAATTTATTTGCACATTTTTGTCATTAAATATGAAAACGAGTAAAAAGAAGTAACAACGGTATCCAAATATTAATTTAACCTCACTTGGAAGTAAACAAACTCTAATCCCAGTATTCAGAAAGGATGTTGATTTAAATAAAAGAGGTTTCTTGAGAGCCAGACCACTCGCTGGATTATTATCTATAGGAATTAACCCAAACCCTGATTGCTAGGTACAAGAAATCTTGAACATTTTATATTTCAAAATCAAGCAGGCTAAAGCTTAACAGCAAACCGAACAAAAATAGCTAGTAGTAACAATAGGCAGTTAAAGATGCCAGAGTCTCTATGTCATCTGCATCCTGTTGGATATTGTTTGTGGAATCCGACTTTTGTAACTTGTCCAGAAGTCATGCTGAATCATTATCACTTTTCCTGACTGTCTGAACCAGAATGTAACCAGGAAAAGTGCTGATGTTTCAACATATGCCTATTCAAAGACTTTCCTAATAGGAACACATTCTCTCCTTTTCTGATGGTTTTTCCTGGGCTTTAGAATGAGAAAAATGAAATTTTGAAGACTGATTTTTTTTTTAAATAGAATGTATCTTTTGCTCCCCTACCAGCTGTTGGAATTCTTTCTTTGTCATAAATGTCTGTAACAGAAAAATAATGTTTTTTTCTGCACCCTGTTTAGGGTTTTTCAGTACAGACTTTTTTTTTAAACCTACAGTCATTATAATGGGATCTTCTAATTTGTCCAGCTGCATAACATTAAAACCACTGTACAGTCATTTGCTCCAGCCATTTCAGTGAGCTCAGTAAGTCCAACACTTCCAGCTCAGCTTTTGTTCTCCAGAATTTCCACTCTGTTGGTCTGAGAGACCCTGAGGGAAAGGCTTGTGGAAGGGAAGGTTTTGCCCTGATAATTGCAGGGATAGTCTTCTCTGTGTCCAAATATTCACAATTTGAAGTATGCTTTAGGCTCTTCAGCTGCTTCTGGAATTACAGGTGTTATTAGGTGCCAAAATCACTCTTTTTATCATCTTTCTAGTTAGACATTTGCTCCCTTTCCTTTCAGATCTAGACTTTGCTACCATGATCTCTGCTTTCTGACTTCTAGATGGGAATAATTCAATATGCTTTACCTATGGTTGAATTTGAAGACAGCTTGAAAGTTACAGCTGGTGACGATTTCATGGGCTGTCGTGCTTGAAAATGTAATCATGAGGAATTGTAATAGCACTCCCCCTCATCTCTGGTCACAGTGTTGGACAGGATCATTGTCTCTGGCACCCCCTACTGGGCTCTCCCTCATCTCTGTGATGGCCTTTCCCAGCCTTTGTCTTCTCCTGACTTCCTCCAGGTGTTCTGTGGCTTGGCCCTCTAACCAACTCACATGAAAGTCTAAACCACTTCCACTGGAACATGAACAAACGAATCTTAAAACTTATACCCCTTCCCCCCCTTTCAGACTCCGCTTTAGTTCCTTTGTTGGCCCTACCTCAGGCTTCCCCTGCAGGAACCTAACCTGCTCCCGTAATATTCTTCCTCTGTTGTTTCCTGTCTGCTAAACCCTATCCCAGGGCTTCTCTCGGCCAGAGAAATCTGTCTCCTCTGCAGTCTCTCCCCAACTGAGCTCTTTCAGTCTACTTATAAGTCATAACTCCTCCTCCTCTGGCCAGAAGGCAGTTAATTAATCACACCCCAGATGCAGAGCTTGACTAATTAGGGTTCTTTCCCTTGCCCAGGTGGTGGGGGTTAAGCCCCCTCACAGGAATGTTAGATCTGTTTTCTGATGTTTGCACTGGCTTCCTGTTTACTTCTGAGTGCAATTTAAGGAGTTGACTTTCATATATTAATTCCTAACTGGTTTGCTCCCCATCTATCTTAAAGACTACCTCTCTCCTATGTACTACAATGGCAGCTGAGGTTCACTGGACACTCAGCTAACACCAAGTGATGATGAAGCAAGGTCTGTTGGATGGGGTAGGTAGACTGGTGTGTGGGGAGAAAGGGTTGCATTACATGAGGTATGTGAACAGAGCTCAGTAATTTAGATAATCTAGTTCAGATAAGTCTCCAGACCTCTAGATACATATGTGAACCAAACCTGAAATCCAAATCCTCTATCACTATTATAAACCTTGTATTCTTTAAAATGAAAATGTAAAAAGATAAAGTACTTGACATTTTGTATTATTCTGTTATTATGTACTTCTCAACTCTTCCAAGGGTATTTTATTTTATATTCCAGGCTTTTTAACTTCCCTTTTATCCAGTCAAAACCTTCCATTTTTGATTATGTAATCTTAATAGTTTATCATTTTACATATGCTATGCATGGAGTTGTTCATATTCTGCTTACACAATAGCTGTATTAAAATTTTTAAGAAATGCAGCTTGGTACTAATCTTCAGAAAAGAGTTTTAAAATATATATAGTTTTGCTAAGTGCTGCAGACTAATGTACTAAATACTGTTGTCAAAGTATATAAGATGAGCTCCTGAGATTTGAGGATCACAGGAACTATACATGTAGTTACTACATAAAACATTTCTGAACTAAATTGAATTCTTTGGTTATGTTCCTTTTTTCATAGCCTTTTATGTCCCCTCGATACCCTGGAGGTCCAAGGCCACCTTTAAGAATACCCAATCAGGTAAGAGTCTTATATCAAGGACACACATTTATGGGCCGTGGTTTTCAATCTTTTTTCATTTGCGGACCCATAAAAAATTTCAAATGGAGGTGTGGATCTCTTTGAAAATCTTAGACATAGTCTGTGGACCTACAGGGTTTGCAGACCACAGGTTGAAAACCACTGTCTGAGGGAATATGGTATAGTGGTTAATACAGGGAACTCCTGAGTTCCATTTCTGATAGTTCCATCGACTACTAACCTCTGTAACTTCTAATTCACTTAACCTTTGTCTGCCCCTTTTTGCCCAGGTGTAAAAGGGTATATTGATATGTACTGCATAGGAGAGGTGGGTAGCTTAATTAAAGTTTATTAACTGCTTTCTGATCTGTACATGGAAGGGGCTATATACTGTAAGTGAAAAGTTATCATTGCTTTAAACATTTGTTATAAGTATACTGTAATTCAGTATAAAATAAATTCCTGATTGCTGTACCTTACAATAATATGTTACTCAAAGACATTCTAGCATTTGACTTCCACTTTTTTATATGTATATATTTCTAAATTGTTTAAATACTGGCAGGTAAAAGCTGGATGTGGTGAATACTATAAAGTCTACTGCCAACCTGCTGTTTTAATTTCAGAAGCTATTTTTGTCTGCACATTACACTGTTTTCAGTTTAGAGCTATAGCATAATCTCAGTGAATTACAGCCCTTGCAATTCATTTACATTATGCCACATTCATGAATTACCAGTTTTGGCAACATTGCCTATCATTAAGTTTCAGATAATATAAGCAGTACATGAAAGTGATAAACTATTGTAATGCAATTTTGAAGTTGAAATTTTGATTACACAAAAGTCAGTAAAATCATAGTTAAAATTCCCATGGTAACCATAACTCTTCCCTCGAGCACATGCATTATAGTAGGGTACTGTCTTACTTGATCACATAGGAAAATGTGACATACTGCTCAGCAATAATACAATATGATACAGTGGAAGGAAGCTGCACTTCTTTATATAGCCATACATGTTCCAAATATTGCATGAGTCAAATCTCCAGCCTGGCTGTCTTGCAAGAGTAAAGTCCTTAGTGTTTCCCTACTAATGTAGGCAATTAGTGTTTCCCTACATGCCACCTGTCATCTCTGGCAGAGGTGACAAGATCCCACTTCTTGGAATTTGACACTTCTGCATGTTTTACTTTTTGCTCCTACATATTATCTTGAACCTGCACCTATTGAAGTAAACGATAATGCTCCCATTGACTAAAATGACACAGGATGAAACTCTATATCACGGATCGGCAACCTTTGGCACGCAGCTCGCCAGGGAAAGCCCCTGGCAGGCTGGGCCAGTTTGTTTACCTGCTCCAGCCAGTGGGAGCCGCTATCGGCCAAACCTGCAGACACGGCAGGTAAACAAACCGGCCCGGCCCGCCAGGGTGCTTGCCAGGGTCGGCTCTATGTTTTTTGCCGCCCCAAGCACGGCAGTCAGGCGGCCTTCGGTGGCATGCCTGCGGGATGTCCGCTGGTCACGCGGCTTCGGCGGCGTTTCTGCGGGTGATCTGCCGGTCCCGCGCCTTCGGCGTACCCGCCGCCGAATTGCTGCCGAAGCCGCGGGACCGGCGGCCCTCCCGCAGGCATGCCGCCAAAGGCTGCCTGACTGCCACCTTCACGGCGACCGGCACACCGCCCCAGGCTGCGCTGGTGCCTGGAGCCGCCCCTGGTGCTTGCCCTGGCGAGCCGCGTGCCAAAGGTTGCTGATCCCTGCTCTGTATGTTCCATAAATCATATAATGAAATACACTATTGTAATGTATAATCAAAAAGGAACATTGTGAGTGTTACCTTTAATTTCCTGACACTTCTGCAATTAAAACCTCAACCTTAGAGTGAACGTGTTGTATGTGTATGTGTAAAAGTATAAAATAATAAATATATTTATATATATATGTATGTATATACATATGTATGTAAAATAATAAAAATTCACCACAATCTTATATTTCTTTGCAGTCAAGATAAACTGATCAGTTCCTTCATTAAGCAATACCAGTGTTACCTGATCAGATGCATTTAATAACACCAGATTTACTTACTCCAGATAAACATTTTTATTTTGAATAAATTAATTTTAGTTGGCTTTTGAAACACCATTCCAGACTAAGATCCATTCTTGAGTGCAAAAGGCTAGAGAAATTAATTGTAAATATAACTATTTTATAACAAACTCAAAGGACAGATAATAACTTGGGGATTATGCTGCATTTGGGCCAAGCGGGACATAACAACACATTATATTTTCATGCTTGAAGGCAGGATTTGGGACTAAGCTGAGTCTCCTGTTTCCATTGTAGGAGTATAGAGGGTATATCTTGGAACTAATGTCCTTGGATGGTAAGGGAGGATGGAAACTACAACATTCCCCACCTCCCAGCCCTACCTTACTCTGCATTTTGAGTACCATCCAGGTGGCCTATTTGTGGCTGAGCATCTGAGAAGACCACAAAGCCACCTTTCTAGCCCTGGAAGGTAGCTGTTAAAATAATAGAAAGAGAGGATGTCAAAATTTAAACATAGAGAAAACTGACCCCAGAATCAAGAAATGACATTGCCCCATGCTCCATAGCCAGGTGGGATACACAATACAAGAAAATTAGGGACAAACAAAAGAAAATTAGGTAAAAATAAATACTGAAGAATATTCACATTTAGCTGTTTAAGTCAATGGAACTCCACGAGGCCACAGGGGTGCGTGGATCCAATTGTAAGATCTTGTCCTATGTCTTTAGCAGAGTTAAACTTTTTGCTTTACACTTGGCTCAGAAACAGTTTCAAAATTAAAAACAAAATTACCTGAATTTTCTGTTTAAAATACAATTTATATCTCCTCTTAACATGTTTTATATATGTGTAGGCACTTGGAGGTGTCCCGGGAAGTCAGCCATTATTGCCCAGTGGGATGGATCCAACACGACAACAAGGTAAAGTGCCTGTTTACTAGATGTGAAATGTATGTTCAGAATATCAACCTTTTTTTTTTTCTTTTAGAAAGGTTCTGCATCCCAAACTTGCATCCAGCACCTCTTCTTTTAAAGTCCACTGCAGCTGCTTAAATGCTTTTCAAACCATGAAGCAATAATTTGTCAATAATTTAGAAGTGTTTTTATGCATCACAGTTGTTAAAGTTGTGTAATTTTTTTCAGGGCATCCAAACATGGGTGGGCCAATGCAGAGAATGACTCCTCCAAGAGGAATGGTTCCATTAGGACCACAGGTACCTTGCATAAATATGTGTATCTATATTTACAGTACACATACATATGATATTTTAGAGTCCTTTTTGTCACAGCTGTACTAGAATTAAAGTTGAAATATGTCAGCACTTTTCTTTCTAATAACATTTTTAAGGGATTTTCTCTCTATCATAAAAATATATTCTCGGTTAAAACTTGACAAAGTCGCGAACTATAAAGAAAATTTATTTTATTTACAAAATTTTATAAAGACTGATTTAATTTATTTTGAATGATACAGTTGTAATTCAAATAAAAAGGCTTACGTATTTGTCCATATAACTCTAAAACATTCAGAAAACTTAAGTTTATTCCACAATTAATGCATATTATGGTCTAAGTCTAGGATTTTCAAAGGTGCCTAAGCAGTTGGCTCAGGCTCTTTTGAAAATCCTAACCTTATTGTTTATATTATTTCGGAGGGAAAATTAGCCCCACAATACAGCTAAAGTATTCATAGTCTGTGTGGCAAAAACAAAATTAATTAATTTTTATAAAGATCTTTCTCTAGCCACTAAGCTTCTGATCACAAATTCCGCACTCTAGATTTTTTGGCATAAGATTTTAAATGTACACAATTACTCATACTGCATGTGGATGATGCCTGCATATCACCTGCAAATAGCAATTGTTAGCCTTGTCTTTCTAGATCTGCTTTTCAAGAAGAGCAGCAAGCTTGAACATCTGGGTTCAGCCGTCCTCCCACTGCTGACCTGGTTATAGTTACTTATATAGATCCTCCTTCACCAAGGGTGTGAAAGTTTTTTTAGTAAAAGTTTATACATTTTCCACTTGCAAGAATGAAGTCAAGTGGAAATTAAATCCATTCTGAAATATCTCCAAAAAGGTTAGCCCAGTGGATTGTCCATTGCTTAGTATCACTTTTCCTCTGTAAGTCAGGTCTCTAACTTTGTTTTTTGTTTTTTTGCTTGTTATAGCCATTTTGGCCTTACATCTTATTCTGAAGAATATTTGGGTTATGTTCATCCCTCTACACTTTGATTTCTTCATTCAGATATTTTCCCTAGTGACTTCTCTGTTCAATGGGATCTACCTTTAGTTTTGAATAACTAGGTAGCTCTTTCTTTCTAACCCATGACTCTTTTTGGTAGCAACCAATTCTGCATGTGTAACCAACAAAAATGTGTATAAACATATGTTGGTTTTTCTACAGCACTTCAGTATTTCTGCCACTTGCTTTTTTGCGGTGGAAAGTTAAGCTTTGTGGTCATGAATTTAAGCTCACACTTTATGCTAGCATTATTAGCTACACACCGTAGGCAAGTCTGATATCAATTTTAGCAAGGATGATTTTCAGTTTTATTCTCTTTAAAACTGGAGGGGACTATGTAATTCTCTCAGACCTGAGTTTTCCAAAGTAGTCTTTTCTATAGATACATGCTTATCTATTATCCTTCTCACTTGCCTGTGGGGGTCTTCTGAGCAAACAGTTTTAATAACTTGAAGGGCGAGTTAACTTACAGGGCCTTTCATGCCCACTTTAAGGGCCTTTTACACTGCCAGAGAGTGTAAAGCTGCTTTAGGCTTAATCTACACTAGGAGGGTTTTGCTGGTTGTACTATAGTGGTATAGTTAAACTGCAAAACCTCTTGTGGTGTCACACAGTTATGTTGGTATAAAAGTGCTGATACCAGTATAGCTTATGTCAGTTTATGTCAGACTTATACTAGGACTTTTACTAGGACTTTTACCAGTATAACTATGTTGGCAAAAGATCATACCCCTTACCAAAATAGCTATGCCAGTAAAACTTTTTAGTGTAGACTTTTTAGTGTAGACCTGTCCTTCATGTAAATGAGATTAAGGCACACAAAATATAAAAAAGTTATCTAAATACCATATGTCATGGTGACAGGCCATATTTGAGCTAGATAGCAAGTTTGGACTGTACACTAGTTTTGATTTTGCTGTCCAGTTTGGTGTTAAGACCTATATTCTTGTGTGTTAGGGGGCTTATTCCTTCACCTTCTCACTTCCCTGGTCCTTCTCGCATGAACAGAGAGCAACAGTACCCGAAGTCCGAAGGTGCAAACAATTCGATGTTTATTGGGGTGAACTTCCAGCAAGCATGATTCCAGTTTCCTTCCTCAGTGTCCCCCTTCCCAGCTCTGACACCACAGAGCCTTGCCTGTGTCCCTGTTCCCATTTCCCCCCCCCCCCTTAGCGAAACATGATTCCAATTCCCCCACCCCCATTCCCCGTTCCCATTCCCCCCTTACTTCTTGATTGACTGCAGACTATATAGTAAAACTTGAGTTCTGCTTAGCTATATCTTAACCAATCATTTTACTGAAATTTAACTAACCAATCCTAACATATTGTAACATGATTATTTAACCAATTATATCCCACCACCTTAATTGGTTTACACCCAACAAAATTAATTATACAGCAGACAGAAACAATCACAGAACCAGACAGAGATTATACAGACAAACAATAGGGAAGTGGAGACTACAGTGATAGAACAATACAAAAATGAGGATTTTACACCCCAGCTATTGATAAGTGAGTTCTTGCCAGACAGGATGCTATCAAACTACGTTTTCTTTAAATCTTTTAGGCTCTTCCCTTTCTCTGGAGGCGATAGATCGGATCACCTTTCTAACAGCCCCAGGGTGCCTTATTTCAATGTGACTAGTTTGGAATGTGAGGATGTGACCGTACAATTCCCAGCTTATGGCTGCCTTTGCTGCTTAGCCAAAGACCTTACTTAGCCTAAGAACAGGGCCTTAGACTGTCACAGTGAGAAAAGGCCCTTACACCGGCAGACAGTTATTTTGATTCTTTCTTTTATACCTCTATAACTAGCTAAGTAATAAGAATACACCTAAATTCTTAAAGTATAGGCCTTTGCACACAGGCCTGAATATCTATATCCTAACATTGTGCTTGGGACAGGGAGACTGAAAACACAAGTATGTAACTTTTTTACATTTTATTTTAAGTGACTTCTCCCTCATTTAAGAGTTGGCCATAGGTACAGTAGTTAATTTTTGGATAATGACTGACAAACAAAAAAACAAAATACAGTGAAAGGGAAAAGGAAAATAAAACAAGGAAAAATAACTAAACAAAAACAACTTTGTTAAACTCTGCTGCTAATTGTTAGTCAGACTCCTTCATTCTTCACTGTTCTCCAGATTCCTCTCTTCATCCATCTTCTCCTCTTGGATTTCCTTCTTAGCAGCAGCTGTCCCAGATTTACCCTAATTATTTTCTTTCATCTTCAGCAACAGGCAAGCAGTTGTATATAATTGTAAAGGTTTATGTTTACTAAATGTGCCAAATGATTTTAATCTGATTTCTCTCAGTTCAAGTTCAGTAAGGACACCTGACTAAAATGCTTCCAGTCGAGAACTCCTAGTGAGTTCTCTAAAGATCTTAGGCCCACAGACTTGGTTCCTTTGTCAAAATAAAGAAAAGAAAAAACAGGAAGACGCTCCAAAGAGGAAAGGTGGCTCAGATCTCTGAAATGAAGATGGAAAAATAGAATTAAATAGCTTCACAGTTCCTCCAGAAATGGATGTCATTTTGGTACTGTTTTGGTACAGGGAGACACCAAAAACATGAATATTTAAAGGGAACGCAAGGTAGCATTCCAATTGTTTCAGAATTAGCTTATTAGCTTGATACACAAACCCATTCATGCAAGCCATCTATGTCTAGAACTCCCATGGGCTTCAATAGGAATTCTAAACAAGGAACACTTGCAGGTTTGGTTTCTAGTTTGCAACAAGAGAACCTACTCCCAGAAGTCCTTTCTTGGTTCACTTGAAATAAGTTTTTTGTAATTGAAATATCTCTTTTCACTATGACACATGAAATATAGTATCGGGTCTACATTTTAAATCTTATTGTCAGATTGCTCCCTGGTCTGCATAATTTAATGCTCAAATACCCTAGAGCGTGGATTTGTGTATTAGACTGCTTTGGAGAACTCCAGTTAAAGTTCAGTAATCCAGTTATAATATAACTAGAGTGAGTTGTAGTTACATTATTGCAAAACAGATAACAATAATGACTTTGAGGACATTCTGTTCTCTTAAGTAAATGATTGTCTGCCCGACTTCCTCAAAACACACTATTTTATTTTTTAGAAATTGCTTTATTATACATACATTTGCCTAAGATATCAGAAAAACTCAGTAGGACTGGTACAGTTTCTGCAATGAATGATATATGTGGGGTAAGGCAGGTTGTTCTATTTACATTTAACTGAAAAAATTGACTAAATAGTTCAGTCTTTCAGGAAAATAGCACAATGTCTAGGCTTTTGTCAGTTTATGTCATGATCTAAATCTTATTTGAGCACACACATTGGTTTTATCTATAATAGGGCTTTGGATAGCTCATTTATAGACATTTCTATGGCATCCATTATACTATGTGAATTTTCATGTTAGTTGCCTTAGATTGGTTACAAGAGGAGTATAGCAATCATTTTATGTGTTATAGAAATGAAATATATTGTAATATTTTCCCATGGAAGTTATTAATACCCTGTTCATTAACCAGGTTCAATTAAAAATAATTCTATCTGAATTCCAAACTGTGAAACCCCCCGAAAAAAATCTATTTTTCTGTCTTTGAATGAGTTTTCGTGGTATGAAAGTTGAACGGTTATTGATTCTGGCCTTTGTTGACCATTGAGTTTGCTACCGTGTATCATAAATCTTCATGGAACAATTAGCATTTTAAGTATGCTTAGTACACATACATTTTTAAGAACTGTTAATATGTGTAGTGTACTAAGCGTACTACTTTTTCATTAGGGATAAGAATTCTTTTTTTAAGTCAAGAATGGAAACTCCTGAAAGAATGAATCACACTGGCCTATCCAATCAACAGGTGTGTAGGGAAGTCATTAACCTGCTGTCCTTTCTTTCCCCCCTCCTCTTTGGTTTTGTTTTTTTGTTTTGTGGTAGTCTGACCCTTGGTTATCATTGCAGAACTATGGAGGTGCAATGAGACCGCCACTGAATGCTTTAGGTGGCCCTGGAATGGCTGGAATGAACATGTAAGCAAAATAATAAACTACTATCACATTTATAAAAGTCATCTTTTCCTGTTAAAAGAAAAAATAATTATGACATACATAGGACAAAGGAGAATGTATTTTGATTAATTAACTAATATTAACAGTTGTGACAAAGTAAGGAAACATCACAGCAGTTTCACTCTTGTGCAAAGCATCTTTTACAGAATTATTTGTTTTTTCCTTCCAAGTCTCTCTAAATGTTGGGTTTGTTCTACAGGGCAGGGTTCATATATTTGGAATATCTTGTTAGTGTGGCCCACCGTATTCATCTGTAGATTTGTAAAGAGCCTTGACATTAGTTAGGTTTGAATGTTTATTTTACTGATTTAATAGTAAAAGAGTTTGCCATCAATTCATACACAGAGAGAACATTTTAAAGAATAGTAAGGTTATGATTCACATCTGCAAAAGCAAGGAAGTGCATAGTATGGACAGAAACACACCATTGTCTTTAAATACATCGTCACAAAGGATACACATTGAAAAAGGAAGGACCGGATTCTCTATTCTTTTATATTGGTTTTATGCTAATATAATCAATGAAGTTACACAACATAAAACCAGTGTTATGGAGTGGAGAATCAGGCATGAGACATTTTAGTGTACTATGTGGCATTCAAGGACTTCTGGGGCTAGATACTCAGTTGGTGTAAACTGATGTACACTGATTTACATCAGCTATGGACTGGGTCCATGGAGTATAGTCCTCTCTTGATATATGTAGATAACTCCTATTTTCCAAGCCTCCAGAGCAACTTCAGATGTCAAACCACTGTTACTGGGTAGAATAAGTTGAAGTTGCACCAAAGCTAAGGCCTTCAGTGCAACTCACCGTTATTAGCTCCCCCACTGCAAAGTACAGCCCCTGCCGGCATTGCTCCACGCCTGTCCCAGGCTTGAAGTTTGGGGGGGGACGCTGCCTCCTACCCCCCAAACTACGCCATGTTTAAAAGTAGGGGGCATGGCCCCCTGGTGCCCCCGGTTCCAGCACCACTGCCCCTCCTCACTTCTACAAAGGTTCTAGTGCCCTTGCTTCAGCACCATACTTCTGGTTGAGTTAGAAGAGTGTTTCTTAACAAGTTGGTCATGACCTCCAGGAGGGTCATGAAAGGTAATCAGGTTTGCAAGGAATCAAAAATGTTATTACAATGTAAAGCAAGGGAAATCTCACTCCCTTCTCCACACACCGTTACCCTTCAACAGATCAACAGACTGACAGAAAGACACACACCAAGGCTTATCATTAATATATTTTTACTCTTACTTTTATAGTAAATTGGAAGGAAATCATGAAAGTTTTTTACTGCAAATAAGGTGTCGGCAACCTGAAAAGATTGCAAAACACTGAGTTAGAACACATCTTGCAGAGAGACATCTGATCTTGATTTAAAGATTTCAAGTAATGAAAGATCCACCACATCTTAGATATATTGTTCTAATCTTCAGGCAGATCTTGCATTTTTGAAGCAAATAAAGTAAATTTAAGGTTTGTGTTACTTTACCACAGATGTCTTCTGTTGCACTCAGGACAATTATTGGAAATTAATGTAGATAAAATAACTAGATATTTGAAATCAAGTGTAGGTACAACACAAATTGTAGAAAGGGTCTCAAGAAAGAGATTCCAACAAAGGAAAACAAAACTAAACTATTCATTACAAAATTTGTTGCTATTTAATAACAAAAAATTAGAAATAGAAGCAAAAAAAGTATTTTGAGGATACTTTACACATGAGATACCTTAAACAGAAAACAGGAAAAACAGACAAACAGGTTGCTGTCTCAGAAAGGAGCTCCTCACCCGCCAGTTAGCGGAAAATGAAACAATCATGGTTGAAGTACAACTTCTATAGCTCAGCAGTAGGCAAGCACACTTTTTCTTGTGTTGAGACAGTTACACATGGCTAGCTGTAACACTGTCAGACCCCAGTCATTGGGATTGAACCTGGAACCTCTGGAGCTTAGTGCATGAGCCTCTACTGCATGAGCTAAAAGCCATATGGCTCTTAACTAAGGCAGTAGAGCAGACTCATTAATCTCTCTCTCTCTCTCTCTCTCTCTCTCTCTCTCTCTCTCTCTCTCTCAGTGGTCTCAGTGCCACTAGATGGGACAGAACGCCACATCCAGGAGGTGTGTGGGTTATACAGCCACACAGTGAAGAGGGAGGGAAGAAGTGGCTTTCTTCCCACCTTGCACATAAGAGTTACCCAGAATTGTAGCTCCTGTACTTGAAGTACTCAGGAGCTTCTGTATGACATAAAGAAGGCATGATGTAGCCAGTCATAGCTCCTTCTCCCCATGCTTCAGCCAAGCATACGCTATGCTCCTTAAAGGCTGTTGGTAATTAACCTCCCTCTAGTGCAGGGGTAGGCAACCTATGGCACACGTGCCAAAGGCGGCACGCAAGCTGATTTTCAGTGGCACTCACACTGCCTGGGTCCTGGCCACCAGTCTGGGGGGTTCTGCATTTTAATTTAATTTTAAATGAAGCTTCTTAAACATTTTAAAAACCTTATTTACTTCACATACAACAATAGTTTAGTTATATTATAGACTTATAGAAAGAGATATCTAAAAACGTTAAAATGTATTACTGGCACGCGAAACCTTAAATTAGAGTGAATAAATGAAGACTCGGCACACCACTTCTGAAAGGTTGCCAACCCCTGCTCTAGTGCAACTGAAAATGGGAGCAAAATACCTGTCATTGTTCTTCTGGGTGGCGTGGCTTCACACGGCCCTTACCACAGACTGTGCCTTAAAGGCACAAGCTAGCCCAGAGTGCTGGTATTAGAAAGCTATGCTTTAGGGTATTCTGATCCCTGTCATATGCTGGATCCTGGACCTTGGAAAGGAGTTCTATTATATCTCTTGCCTTCAGAGAATATGATTTATCAGTAAGAAATTTTTCTCATATTGTCAAAGTGAGTAATTTTTCTCTTATATCAAATGGAGTTACGTACACATATCAAAAGGAGAATAGAGGCTTAACTCTGTATTTTTTGCTTTTGCAGGACATGAAGTGTGAGGCCCAACCTTAAAGTTATTGATGTCACTTGTGCATGAATTTCTTTATCATATAAGTCCTTGTACTGTGATATCATAGCACAGATGTATTGTACATATTAACACTAACATTCAGTTTCAGTTATAGAGAGCATCTAAGGATAATCCACATCCAGTAGCAGTAAATGGACCCAGATGTTTTAGCGATTCCTCCTTTAGATTATCCCTTACAACTTATGCAATGCACAATGCTAAGCAACATCTGTGTACCTTATCTTCTGTACTTGTATTTCCATAAAAGATGGCAGCTTCCTTATTGCCTTATGCAGGGTGCATAGTTTAATTTGCATTTCCTTTTATGCAGGCATAAACTTTTTTGAGTTCAATGGGTTTGTCTCTCTGGCAGCATTAAAATATGAAGAAGTAGCTATTCTGCAAAGCCAACAGCCATTTTAAAGTGTAATGTCTCCTCTGTAAGCAATTAGGGGGTACAACTCAAAAGGAAACTGTCTTGGTAGGATGCTAAATATCTACCAAATATCATTTTTGAGATTTTTCCTGGTGTTGCTTTGGCTAAAAATAGTGCATATTATGTAATCTGTTATGACAACAAAACTAGCCTGAGAATTTATAGACAGTATTTCAACCCAAAAGGACATTTTTCTTAGTAGATGTAGCATTGAAAAATAATTGCTTACATAGCCTAAACTTCAGTATTTAAAATGTGATATATATTTGTTTCATGCATCTTTTTAAAGAAAAAATAATTACAGTGAAATCTGCAAGTGTCTATGTCAGAGTTTTCATTGTAAACTCACTTCTAAGGGATCTAAATCTCATCTGTAGAACTTTAAGCCCAAACTTGGCATGACAAGTCTTTGTAAGACAGTATTTTTTCATACAAAATGGGAGCAAAATAGCAAATTTCAGGGGATAATGTTACAGTTCATAAGCTTATTTTAATGGCCAGTATGAACCAGACTTTTTTATAAGGTTCTAAGAATGTTTCGGTATATACCTGAAGAGAAAAAGAATTTCCACTCACTTTTTAGCTCATAAGCTTCCTTTATAGAAAAGCTAAAACACACACAAAAATAGGTAATCAGGCATTTGGTTTAAATTATTCAATATTCTGATAGAATACAGACACACATAAGGAAACTGAAATATTGAACATTTTTTCAAATACTAGTACAAATAAAAAATTTGAGACATTTTCAAGATGGCAATGAAAATTGATGTCTCATGATTCACTGAAGGAAACATCTGGGTTAGCGTTAAAGGGGTCCTCAAAGAGGTAACATCCAATAGTTCTGTAAAAAATGAAAGTATGGAAATGATTACTGTGTTTCTAAAGAATGCTGTTGTAATTAGACATATGAGTCTTCTATATGTAAAAGATTATATTGTGAAACTGGTACATTAATAGTAATGTTTTATGAATATGTTGAGAGTTCCATAATAAAGATTTATTAGAAGGGGGGATGGGGAAGCTGCTCACATTGCTTTAAAGAACTTTGCAGCTGGCTAATTTTAAAAAACAACCAAATATTCTACTCCATATAATCATATACCTCCTGGGCAGAATCTGCCCTGGTGCTTTTTGTAGCTTTCTGCATAGAAGTTTCATATGATTTCTAGTAAATTTGCAAAATCCAGTACCTTGTCAGATGCAAGATGAGCTTTCACTTAGGGTATGTCTACACTACGAGAGTAGTTCGATTTTAGTTAAATCGAATATGTGCAATCGATATTAGAAAGTCGAACGTGTGTGTCTACACTAAGGACAGTAATTCGACTTTGTCAGTCCACACTACCAGGGAAAGCGTCGACATTGGAAGCAGTGCACTGTGGGCAGCTATCCCACAGTTCCCGCAGTCCCCGCTGCCCATTGGAATTCTGGGTCGAGCCCCCAATGCCTTCTGGGTAAAAAAATGTGGCGAGGGTGCTTTTGGGTAACTGTCGTCATCCGT